CTCCTCACATGCTGGCCTCAGCATCCATCCGTCCCTGCCCTTTCCCACCAGCAATGAATGGACTAGGATCTCCGACTGGTGATAGTTTGGGTAAGTCCCGCTGTCCACATTGCCAAGAATACCCATACTCAGTTGGAGGGAGGGGGTTGCTGCAGCGGCCACAATTCTGCCTTTTGGATTTGCACAAGATAAGGTGCTCCAGGCAACCAGGTGGAATCCGTGCTTCCATTATCACATCCGATAGATCCAGCCACTCTGAGTCATAGTTGTTTTAATTATTAACTCTAAGAACTGTGTAATTTTGCATGTGTAATGGAGATAATAATACGTGTCTCCTAGTGTGAGTACTAAATGAGACACTGTGGTGAAAGCTCTATATCAACATTGGCTCCTGGAGACCTTTCCTATGGGGTGAGTGATGGCTCCTTCCAGCAGCCTCCCGCCCTGCTCCCCACCCCCAGCCCAGCGGAAAGGTGGAGAGGTTTCCGCAACTGCTGCAGTCCCTGGGAACACATCCCTGAGGTCTGTGGTTGGGAGGGCTTACTCAGAGGCACACTTTGTAGCTATTCTGCATGTGGTGGTAATGTTAAGCATTGTATGCAAACGAGGCCCTTCTGCCAGCTGGGTGAAGGGCGTCTCCCCTCACAGGTGTTTAAGCTGCTCCGACAGCAGAAGGAAAGGAACACTGCTTGCCTTGGTGCCTGTGTGTCTGTCTCCTCCCCTAACCAGCCGCAGCCCTGCCTGCGCCTGACTGTGTCCAAAGTAGCCCGCAGGCTCTATCTGTCTTTGCTCACGCCATGATGACCTGGGTGCTCTCCTCGCTTCTTTGTCTACAAAAAAAAAAAATATATATATATATCAACCCCACCCAGCCCTGCCCCCAGGCTAAACACTCCGGGTCCGGATGGGATCTCACAGCCCTTTGGGCAGGGCACAGAGTTAACCAGTACGTCACTCAGATGGTAGCACTCATGATCAATTTATAACCATGAAAGAAGGATCCTTTCCTACTGAAATATTTCATTCAGGTGGCTAGAATTTGCTTGAAAATAGAGAAGAAGAAATTAATAAGATCACTTGCTGTTTTACTTAGGCAAGCTTTTAAGGCAGAACCAGGTGGAGATAGTCCTGACTCCCCCTCCCCCCCGGCGAAGACCACCCTACGCCCCAGGGTTCCTGACTTTCTTGAGCATTCTTCCATGCCCGCATCATCCACTCCGACATCTGGTCGCCTTTCTAGGCGGGTGTTAGGTGTGGAGTGGCAATGGAAGACTACACTGTGACTTCGGCAATTCCTGACCCTGGGGACTAGATGAGGAGGCGGCTCGGGCCAGAGGCGAGTCTGGGAGGACACAGAAGATCTAGTGAGGGTCACTGGGCAGGGCCAGCGCGGGTCCAAGGGGCCATGCCAGGCGCAGTTCTAATTCTAGAAGTGGTTGGCATCAGTGACCAGAAACACGGGCCAGTGACAGAGTCAGTCACATACAGTTGGTCCTCTGGGGACTTTAGACTCACGTGGAATATCTGGTCCTGGGGCCAGAACCTGGAGGGCTGGGCAGGGGGAGGGGCATCAGGCAGGGCATTCAGGCAGGACCTAAGCTGAAGCCCAGTCCTGCAGCCAACTTGGTGTGGGGACCATGGAAAGAAGGGGTGTGACCCAGGTCCTGCGGCAGGAGCACAGGATCCTTAGTCTGACTGGCCGGAACAGGGTGGGCATGGAGAGCTCAGTCGTTGGGACAGACCTGGCGGCGCCCGCTGAGGCCTGTGGGCAGGTGCTGCACACACACAGGCTGGCTGTGTGGATGAACAGCTCCACACATGGAAAAGACTTGAGTAGAAAGTCATCTGAGACATCTGAGCTTATGTGCAGTTTTAATATGTGATCTTAAAATTTTAAGGCCAAAAAATATTTTAAGACTTCTTAAACTCCTCCCCATTGTTCCCTGGCTTTCAAGGTCCAAGAGTCACAGCAGTGCCGCTGGGACCTGCCCGGGGCTCAGGGCGTGGCTCCTGTAGCCTGATGTGTGACATTTGGGGTGCAGTTGGGCATGTGCCCTGCAGGAGGAGGCAGCGGGGCAGGCGGGGCGTGTCCTTCTCCTTTGAAAGGGAAAGGAAGCTCGTGTGTGTGTGTGTGTGTGTGTGTGTGTGTGTGTGTGTGCGCGCGCTGAGTGCCCGCTGTGGGTTGGGTGCCGGCTTCTTTATGCTGTCTCACCTGCTGCTCACAAAAACCTCACAAGCCAGAGGAGCAAATTGAGGCTCCAAGAGGTTAAGGAATTTCCCAAGGTCACCTGGCTTGCTGGTGGTGCAATGAAGGCTTGAGGCCAGCCGGGCGCTCCTGCTACCCTGCTGCCTTTCAGCCTGGCTTTTGAGACACATAAAGACGTGTCTTGCAGCTCAGCTTTGGAAGATGTCATTTTGCATAAGTGCTTGTGAGGCGGGAGAGCTCGTGGCAGTGGAGATGGGAGATAGCACAGCTGGTGTTCGCTGCCAAGCCTTCCCCGTGCTCGCCTGGCAGGGGCCCCTCAGCCCATGCGTGCATTGCTCTGCACGGGAGGGGCCTCTGAGGGACTCTGGGTCACTGTTATTAGTTGCTTATGCAGCTCACACTTACCAAGACTGGGAGGAGGGGGATCTAGAAATGTGTATGGCAAAGAAAACGTAGGAGCTACGATGACAAGAGAAACAAATGGCTGCTCAGGGTGGGGTGCCTGCACAGTGTGGGGGTGCGGGACAGAAGGCATCCTGGGAGGTGGGCGGCGCATCGGCTTGGGTGGGTCAGACTCCCAGGGTGTACGGATGGGCTGCAGGGTGCACAGGAATCCCTGAAATTATATGTAAAACATTACAGTATGCGCCTTTTGCTCTGGGAGGAGGGCCTGTGATTTTCATAGGCTCTCAGAGAAGGCTGAGACCACCAGTAAGTCTGAGTGCTGTTTGAGAGGTTGGAATTACGCCCCATGCACATTCTTTTCATTTCAGCTTAATCCTAGAAGCAGGAACTGGAGCTTGTACAATGCAGGATTTCTAGGGTGACACCAGGTAATGGTGATGGTCAGGGGGATGTATGAGATGAAATTGTATGTGACAGTGCAAGAAAGCAAAGCCAGGGCTGGGTGCTCACCTAATTTTGCTTCACATTGTCAGTTACACAATTTTAATAGCTAATTAGAGGAACAAATTTGTGGGAGGACAGAAGACCCGGTAGAGAGAAACCTGTTTGTGAGTTCTTCGTCGTCTTGTTTATGTGCCAGGCAGATCAACATCAGTTCCGGACAAGCCCATCTTGCAGCCACGCAGCTCTGTCCCCTCGAGGGCTGGGGGGCACTGTCAGACCGAGATGTGTGCACCCTCATAAACACACTCTCCGTGTGTGCCAGCGCTGCCAGCGTCTGGGCCACAGCAGTCCACTAAGTGGTCCAGAGAGCTGGGCCTGCCTTTCCTGCCCTCCTCTCTCTGAGTCCCGTTGGCATTCCTTTTTGGAGCAAGGAATAAATCACATTTGCATACAGAAAAATGTGTTGAGCTGTCTCAGACAGCTTTCTAGCCACTGAGCCTGATGTGAGGAGGTGACCTCATCCCCAAAGGCCTCTCCTCATTCTCACGGTTTCCAGCTCTGCCCCACCAGCCCAGTCACCTGTTACAGTAGGGTGTGTGCTCTCAGACACTGAGCACCTCCCCTACCCCCTGACCCCTGGTTTAGTGAGCACAGAGGCTCTCGGACAGGCCAGGTGACTGGGGAGCTCTGGGAAGCAGGGTTGCTGATAGATGTGCCCCTTCTCTGGCCCTCAGCTTCCCAGGTCCTTGCGGAGCCTGCAGAGGGCGTCCTCAGAGATTTAGGAGTTGTTCCTGATCTTCCTTCCCTGCTTCCTAGGGCGCCAGGAGAAACAGCACTGGCCTCCCTCCCTGTCTCATTAAAGCTGTCTTTGTTCCCTGAGCCCAGTCACTGGGGTTTTAGTAAAGACAAAAAGCCAGGAAAGATCCATCTTTCTGGAGAGGCAGAGTCTCAGTGGTTACTGCGAGGCTGGGCTGCTTTGGCCATGATGATCAACCGGTGCTCACCGACGCATGAGTGAGTCCCCTTAGGCAGGGACGAGCCAGCACTTGCAGCCCTGGACCTGTGCTCTCTGGTCACAGCCTGCCACCCACCATGGGCAGTGCCACTGTCCCCAGGGCTGCTTGACAATAACCCAGAAAACCTTGCTGCATGTAAGGCCCAACGCCTCGATTTGGAGCCAGCCTTGGGAAGGGGAATGGGGGATATGGGCATTTGTGTTCTCGGCTGCCCTGGACCAGGGGAAAGCAGACGCCTGGTAGGCACATTCTCCGCACAGGTCTCTCCCCCCATGCCATCGCCAAGAGCAGGTCCACCACACTGGGAGCCCGACCTAGCAGGGACTGTGGCATTTTGGGAAAGAGACTTTGAACTCACTTTCAGCCTCTCTTAGCCCAAGGGATGCTGCCGACAGGGAGCATGTGTCTGTGAAATATGGCTGGCAGGCAGCTCCTGTTACCATGGTTACTGTGTAGGACAGGTTAGTATAGGGCTACCCAAGGAAAAACGGCACTGAAGGCAACGCTTGTGCAGGGGCCTTCCTCCCGCCAGCTTCGACTCTCTCCCCAGAGCGGGTGGCAACATTTGACCTGAGGGGATGGGGATTTCCTTCAAGGGTCCACTGGCTGCCCAGCCCTGGCTGTTGTCACAGGTGTTTCCTTTGGTGCAGAGCAGTGGGCCTCCCAGGTGGTGGGAGCAGGGGCGCTCGAAAGCACGGAGCTTTCCCACGGCTCGGTGCTGCTGTCACAGCCCCTCTGTCCATCCGTCCTAGAGTTGCATCCGTGACACTGAGCCCTGTCCCCAGAAGGGCATGGTGTCTGGAAAACCCTGAGTCCAGATTTGACTAGTCCTAAAGCACATGCACTAAGTCATCAGAGAGTGATCACTGCCCCCTTTCACGGGCTGTGTGAGTGATAGGTTCAATTATAAGACGTTAACAATCTCTTACCTGTGTTTCCATGTGACCAGACACCAGGTTCCGCAGTCCCAGGCTGGACTCCCTGGTCCTTTGTTCTCTGCTGAGTGACACGCCATTCTGGTCCTCTGTTTCTTTGTACAAGAATAGAATAACCATTGTGGGGGGGGGGGGATTGATCAGTGTGGATGGGAGACATTTAAAAGCATAACAAGTGAGTGAAGGGCACTTCACGAATTCATGCAGTTATCATCTTTGGTTGCAATCATGGCAGGTTATTTTAGTCTCTCTCCTGGCCATTTTGGGAGAAAATTGATTAACACCCTTGAATGTTGCATCAGAAATTATTTTTGGTGTGGCAAAAAAAATAAAAGAGGTTAAGAAACAGCTACTTAATAAGATTAGCCTATTCTTTAATCCTGATGGAACCAGTTTTGGGGGCACTTGGGGGGCATTTCTGGGAGTAAGCAGGGAAAGCCTCGTCCCCGGGGCTGCAGTGCCGCCCTGACCTTTGCTTGTTTTGCTTTTACTCTGGCCCTGGAGCACTTGCCTTCATCATTCCAGGTAACTTACATGCCTGCGTTATTTGCGTATTTTCTTGCAGGAATGCACTCCATTCATGTTTTCTGGGGGTAGGGTATTGGAATTCAAAGGCTTTTGCTGGCTAATGTCATGGAATTTCTGTGCAAAAGTGAAGGAGCTGCTTTTCTCCCTTTTCTGAGGCTGGGGGTAGTGGTTTTTTAGCCACCTGGGACTTTCTTAGCCTGGGGGAAAGGGAAATAGCTAGTGGAAAACAGGCCCTTACCTGGTGGCCATTGGCCTGATGGATGAGTCATCCCCACAAAGCTGCTGAGGTCACGGGCCCTGGCTGCTCATCCAATAGGAATGAGGGCAGAGGCACGCTTCCTCGTGGATATAGTCCAGGACCTCGGAGGGCAGTATCAGCCCATCTACTGACCATCTTAAGGGCCCTCCAGCTGAAAAAACAACCAACCAACCAACCAACCAACCATGAGTTCTACCGCCCTTGGTACTTACTTCCATGTTCTCAGGGCCCTTCCCAGGGCCCGGGAGTTCCAAGGACTGCACACCCGACCTCCAGAACCACGGAGGAGGAGGAGCGAGGGAGACAGCAGGAAGGAAGTTGGCCCGGTTCTCCCTTCGGGGTAGAACCTTCGCAGGCCCACCCCTGCGTCAGCTGCAGGAAGACCCCAATCCCCATCTCCGTCCACAGCTCTCACACAAGCACAGAAGCTGCTCACCAGGCACTGAGCAAACAATTCCCTGTTTTTACAGGCCGACTCGACCTGGTCCAAAGGCCGAGGCCTCCTGAGTATTTGACACTAATCCCATTGGATACTTTTCATACCTCCCTCCTGCCTCATCTCGTGTTGTTCCTTTCTGGACAGATTAGGTTCTGCTTCTTCCTTGTTGCAAGTTTCTGCCTGTGTGGAGTTTTAGCGAGCTTCAGGACACATTCCATTTTTCAGTGGCCAGAGCCACAGGAAGTTAATTTTTGGAAAAGTAAGAAAGGAAGAGCTACAGGCAGAAACCTGAGTTTGATAAAACAAAACAAAACAAAACAAAACTCAGAACCATTGAGCATCCACTTTCTAGAATGAAAGAAGAAAGGCAATTACTTTGCCCTAAAGGTGTTAGGAGGCTCTTGGTAAGGGTGACGGCATCTTAGCAAGGAAAAGATGAACTTGGCCAGGTTGGATGTGAGGTTCAAGTGCTGGGTCTGCGTTAAGCAGAGTGGGCAATTGAAGTAAAGTGCTTAAAGTGAAGGAGGGGAGGGAGACAAACAGTTGTGTCAGAAGAGTCTACAGAAGAGCATGTCCCCCGTCCTCCCAATAGACTGCACGCCAGGTGGGGTGGGCACCGGGCGCCCAGGCTGTTTGCTGACAGACTTGCTAATTAAACACCAAAAGGCAGTATTGCTTTGCCAGTAGCGAGGGCTGTGCCAGCGTTATCAGCGGCAAGCTGGCTGCCAGGGGCATCCTAATGAAAAATAAACAGCTCTGGGGTGGACTGGGAGAGTGGAGACAGAGGTCCTGCCTGGGTTTCTTAGGACTTCTAGGATAGCTCCTAGGGGAAAGTCACACCCAGGTCACCTTTAGGTCCTTTTCTCAAAGGAGCCTCTGTCTCATCGCAAGGTGGTGTGATGTGCTTCATTAACCCCCAGGTGCCGGGGTGACAAGCAGACAGACAAAGCCTCTAGGAGCAGGTTCCTGGTGCCTTCAGCCCTGGGAAGGAAAGGCTGCCTGAGGGGCTAATGATTTCTGCAGGGTCTCTACATGGAGGGGACAGCTGAAGCCCAAAGCCTCCTCTAAGAGAGGTTAGAATTTCATCAGAAAGCAAGCCTGGTCACATGAGAATTTCTGGCAGCATGTGCATGGCAGGCTGGACATCAGCCTGCCAGAATTGAGCGAGTGGATCGTATTGGCTTCAGCGGAGGGGAAAAGTCCCAGCCTGGCCTGGGAGAAGGAGCTGGCTCACTCCCCTGGCCGCTGGAGTGCAGGCGGGCTCACGCAGCGCAGCTGCCCCTGAGGGACTGGGGCTGATGCCCGAGCCCCCTTTCTTTTAACCCTAAAGTAAGTGTGTGGTCCAGGGACTGAGACGGAAAGATGCCTAAAGAATGCAATGCCTTCCACGCACTCTCGGCAGCTCTGTGCTGCTTCTACCACCGCAAGTCTTTCCTTGGAGTCAAGGTAGGTGTGGTTTGGGGAGAAGGTGCATCTGAAATTCTTTTGGGGTCTTGAAAGCATTGGTTTTCTGAAAGGCACTGAGAAAGTTTGCAGCCTGCCTGCTGGCCGCGAACACAGAGGCACCTCCTCTGACCGACGGACCTTCATAACCCATGCCAGCATGCCTCCCCTGGACACAGAATCTGTGTTTTGAGACGACGATCTGTGTTTCAGGACACTTTCAGTCTCCTTGCGCTGAAATTTTATTCCATAGGAGCTCAATAAGATTAAGCTATTTCTCTTCTTTCTCTTTGTCTCTCTCTCCCCTTGTTCATGATGGATGTGAGGTGGCTGAGTGCCTCTCTCCACTTAACCTGCTGGTCCATTATGTCAGCAACATATATAATGTAGAGAAACCGCCAGATAGCTCCCTTCACGTTGCAGCCAGGCCTCCCAACATTTCCGTGTTCAGAATTGCCTTTTACTGCTCCCATTTTTAATCTTTGTTACAAGACCAGCACCATAGGTTTTGCATAACATGTCAACACACTGTTTCACTGAAAATGTTCAAAAAACCTCATTTGACTAATTCAAGATGAGGCCTGTGTTCTGTGTTGCCTGCTTGTGACGACACTAAGAATTAAGATTTATATGGGCTCTCACTGATTTGAGGTTTTTCTGCTTTGGAAAATGCTGCCTGCCCCGGCAGAACTGTGGACCTCACTTAGCCGTGGGAAACAGGAGGCTGAGAGCTCTGAAGGAATTCTTCCCAGCCCAGCGCGGAGCTCCTGCTCCAGAGGGACTGATCTGTCCCGGGCTGTTGAAAAAGCTGCGACAGTGCTATTCTGCTTCTTTCTTCTCAGTACGGCTTTGAGAACAACTCTCAGGAAAACTCGCTAAAAGGAGAAAGACTCCTCTGTACAAAAATATACACTGAACAAGAAGAGGATGCACTTCTAATTTTACCGCTCTTTTGCAGTGTTCATAGTGGCTTTCTGACCAAAGAGCAAAGTTCGTTTTTGTCTCTTTGTCAAGGGGGAGGGGGAGGAATTGATCATTGGTTAAAAGTGTTCTCTCCCTGATTTAAGAGCCCCTTCCTATCCTGGAGCCCAGTGGGGTGATGTGAGGACCATGTGGTTTCTGGCCTAAAAATGGATCGCTCTGGCGTGGGGTGGATGAAGTCATGCCGTTAGCAGGGTTTGGACGCTGTCAGAGACGGACCGGGAGGTCCCAAGGGAAGCGTGCACTTCAGGGATTGGCAGTAGGTCTTTACTCCAATAGAAGTTCTTTCATAAGCCAACTCCTGCTAATTCAGAAAAGCGTGACTCAGCATCTGGTATGTGAGGAAAACAGCCCATAAATATCTGGGCCCGAGTGACAAGATTCTGTTTGGCTGCCCCTGCTGCTCTGCCGTTCCATCCTCCGAGGCCCTTGCAGAAAGACACGGGAGCCTATGGGGCTGGGCCTGCCCCCTTCAGCCTCACCCCCCCCCCCCCCCGCACCAACAGCCACCCTGGGTGGCTGGCTGTTGGTAGAAACACCCTCCTCCCCACCTGGGCTCCTGCCCCTGCCCCAGTTTGTTGCATCTTCCCCGCACAGAGAGGGGCCTGACCTGCTCCCGTCTTCAGATCCAGCTTACGGTTCCCCACTGACCCTCAAGATGTATCTCCCTGTCGTGTTTTGTTCAGTCACCTGGGAAAGAAAGTCCACCTGTGCTTAGCCCCCCTCCTGCTGATGCTGCCCCAGGACAACCTGCAGCACTTTATTGGCTCCCACTTTAATTAGGGGTTTCAGGTCTTGCTGCTCATAATTAGTTTCCGTTGCAATTAGAGTTTCAAAATGAAATCGGGATTGATTGCCTGATAGCAAAGCCGAAATAAAGCTCCAGTTCTCAACCATGCATGTATGCTGCTTCCCTGGCATGAATTCCTCATGCTGAAAATAACACTATGGTAGCCATGGTAACTTTCCATTTGTCCTAATCCATATCATCTCTGGAGAAAGTCGAATGTTATTAATAGTGTTTGTTGTGTGGAAAGAAAATTAAAAATATAAAAGCTTCTTTGCTTCATAAGAGACCAATCATACTGGTGCGTGCAGGGAATAAAATCTTATTCGCAGAGACTGCAGAATTTAGAATGTAATCAGGGGCCTCACGTGGACATGTTTACAGAGGTCCTAGGAAGGAGTTAAATGGGGGGCCGAGAACGGAGGGGAAGAAGGAGCAGGCGCAGTCATTGCCGGCCCTTGAGGAGCTGGGTCGGAGACCACAGGCCCAGCCACACTGAGGGGCGGGACTGCAGCCCCCAGAAGGGCTTTGCGTGGCAATCACTTCACAGAAAGATCCCTGGATCCTGAATGAGAAAAGGAAGGGATGTTCTGTTTATGCCCAATGGAAAAAAGTTTGAAATGAAAAAATTCCTGATCTATAACATTAGCAGGTTCCAAGGCTCCTGAATGTCAAGTGTGACAGCCACGTGCAGGCCGTCTGTGGAATGGGCTGATAGACGGTTCCTGCCTCGGAAGGACTTACCATAGAAGCATTCGGTCATAGTGTCATATCATCACATTTGCAAAAGTCTGTCCAGTGTCGCCTGAATTTTTCGCACGTTGTCTCACTGGAGTCTCAAAACCAGTTCTCCGGGCCAGGCAGGGCAGAAGTTCACCCCTTTCCACAGAAGAGAAACTGAGGCTCAGAGGAACTATTGAGTTGGCTGAAAAGATTGTTTGATTTTTTCTGTATCATGCTTCTAGTAATGCTTAGTTGTCTTTAACTTCATTCAAAACAGTTTTGCTAGATTGTATTGTGACAGCTGTCACATCAGCATGCATTTTTAAAAAACATCAGAATTGATGAATTTTTGTACAACCATTTTAATATTGAAGATGGATGAGAATATGTAACACTTTAAGCATATTATGTTTTATTATTCCAGGAGAGGTAAAAATGCAACTAAAACACAAAAAAAGATTTGTGCAGTGTATGGAGAAAGTGCTGTGACTGATCAAAAGTGTCAAAATGGTTTATGAAGTTTCTTGGTACTATTGACATTTTGGCTAAATAATTCTTTGCCATGGGGCTGTCTTATGCACTGGGAGATGTTTACCAGCACTCCCAGCCTCTACCCACTAGAAGCCAATAGCAAGAGACAGCCGACATACTCAAAATATCCAAATCAATAAAGTTAAGAGTGAAAATGAAAAATGTGTCTTTTATTTTACAGAAAAAAACTAAACAGACTTTTTGGCCAACCCAGTACCTGGCCAGAACCACTTAGTGGAGAACCAGGAGCAGCATTCAGGTTTTCTGGCCTCAAGCCCAGTGTCCTGTCCAGGACACCATATTAAGACCGTAGAAACCGGAAACGAGACGAGATGTTAATACTTTAGTTTGCAGTTCGGTTGGGAAAGAGCAGTGTGCGTCTTGGTTTTCAGGCAAGACTCAGGGAAGCTGCAGGGTTCTGGGTTCAGCAGGCTGGCGACCATCCCGCAGGCGGTGGCAGCGCCCCCAGGCAGCTTCCTCGTGAACTACAGAAGGGGTCTGGGGAGGAGCTCATAGGTGACATTTCCGGAGCTGGAGTAGGGACAGA